TGGGGCGCGCCTCAGCCAGCCCACGCCCCTCCTGGCCCGCCCCCCCCGGACGCGCCCCTTGGGGGAACCCCGCCCCTGGCCACGCCCCCCGGATCGCCCCCCTAGGCCACGCCCCCGGGGCGCGCCCCCAAGCCCCACCTCCGCCACCGTCCCCGGCGGGAGGCTTGGTCTGCGAGTTGGTGTCTCCGTGCGCTTCTGTGCGTGTCTCTCGGGTGTCTGTGTTTCTCGGTCCCTGTCTCGGCCTCTCCATTTCTGTCTGTGTGTCTCTCCTCTACCCTGCATGTCTCTGTCTCTCTGTCTTTGCGATCCTCGGCCTGTCTCTGTCTCACCTAGTCCCTAGGTCTCTATCTCTCCAAATTTGTCTCTGCGTCCCCGTCTCTCTCGGCCTCTCCCTGCATCTCTCTCCCCTTCTCTTTGAATTTCTCCTGTCCCGGTGCGTCTTCAGTTCTCTCCCTCTGGCCTCCAGCCCCGCCACCCTGCTGTGTCCCGGCGTCCCTCCCAGGTCTGCGTCCCCCGCCGGCCCCGCGGGGACGCCCTGCCCTCCCAATTTCCACCTCCGCCTACGGCTTTGGTGTCGGCGGGCCGCGGGCGCCCCCGTGTGGCCATCGGGGGCTGTCACGAGAGGCCCGAGGGTTGGGTATGGGCGCCCCCAGGGGTGTGACCAGTGCAAGACAGAGACCCTGTGGGTGCCCCTGATGACCCCGGGAAACGGCGTGGGACGCCAAGAGACTGTGTGAGCGTGTACTATCGCGAGCTTGTGACGTTGTGTGTGTGGCTGTGTGACCTGGTGGCATTTTGTGACAACCAGAAATGGTGTGTCTGTGAAACCATGTGTTAGGCAGAGAGGCTGTGTGCGACTGAGTGTGTGACATGAGAGGTCGTGACACGCAGGTGGCTGTGTGGGACGCCGTGAGGCTGGATGTGCCTGCGACACCATTTGGGGGCCTGTGACATCAGGAGGCCGGATGTGACAGCGAGAGGTTGTAGGGCACAGAGTGCAACATGGGGAGGACACGAGGGCTGTGGGGGTCACAGGGTGACAGGGTGAATGAGTGTGACACACCCAGAGGTGGCGTGAGAAGGCGGCGTGACGGGCCCCGGGCAATGGGTGTGACAGAGGGACCACGTGAGTGTGACCGTGTGTGTCAGCCACGCTGGTCAACTGTGAGACACTGACGATGTGCGACACACGGCAGGTGGGACAGCGAGAGACTGTCACGGTGTTGGGACAGCGCGTGAGGCAGCGCGCCACTGTGCGGGGCACTCGGAGATGACAACACGAGAGAGACCTTGTGCGTGCGTGTGTGTCCCGAACATACTGGGTGCCGGTGAAAGCGCGGGCGAAGTTGCCACCGGGTGTGAACAAGACAGACAGAAGTTCCAACTGCGTGTCAAGGTGTGTGACGTCTTGAGAGATGGCGTGTGACGCGGCCGAGCTGTGTGTGCCCATCTGAGACAGCGTGTCTGGCTGCGGCGCGTGAGGAGGCATCGGTGATGCTGGGCCACACGAGGAGAGACGGGGAGCCCCCCGTGTGTGGCGCTGGGCGGAGGGGGAGGGGCCGCGACTGTGACGAG